CGGAGCTGCGCTGGGGCTTAAGGTCTTGGGATCGCGCTCCGAGCTCCGAGCCAGGATCCCTGCGGGAGCCCAGAATCCGGGAGCAGCCCAGAAACAGCTGGGAAAAACTCCAGGAACCACGGAGCAAAGCTCGGGGGGCTGCGGATCCCACACACGGGGAACAGATCCCGGAGGAACCAGCCCAGGCAGAGATCAGGGAATGAATTCCCAGAGGAATGATTCCAGGCAGGGATCAGGACAGCCCCGCTCCCCCTGCTGCACATTAACCAGCTGTTTGCTCTGCAAACACGGCAGAGGCTCCGGCCCATTCCCAAAATCCCTGGGGATGGAAGCACGGCGGAGGATCCAGCCCATTCCCAAACTCTCCATGGATGCTCCACCCCATTCCTGAACTCCCCAGGAACGGACAGAAAGCTCCAGCCCATCCCCAAACTCTCCAAGGATGTTCCTGTCACTGCGCCAGTGACATCCCGGCTCCCAGCAGACCCGGGAGCCACGGGGCTTCCCAACACAAGAATTCCCGGTTTTTAAAGCTCTGCTGGGTATCCTTGGATCTTCCCAGGGACACAGCTGCCCCCATGCCCTGGAACTGCCTCTCCGTGTCTCCCCAGATTCCCCACTCTACATCCTCGCTCCTCCATCCTGCAGTTTTGCTGGAAAGAACCAAATCCCACCAAACCCCGCGACCACGGACACGGAATTCGCACAGGTTTCGGGAGGCAATTCCCGACCGGGAATCCTCCCGACGCTTTCCCGGAGCATTCCCGAGACCCGTCCGAGCAGCCCTCGGGGAGCTGCCGAGCTGGAGTTATCCCGGATCGCATCCCGGGATCCCCGCCTTTCCCAGGCTCCGAAGCATCCGCCGGGTCCCGCAGAGCCCGGGGAGGATCCCGAGGCTCCCCGGGGACAGGGACAGAGCCCGGAGCTCCGCGGAGGGGACGCGGGGTGGGATCCGAGGGATCGGGGATCCTTTTCCCACCCCAATTCCGGGAGCTGCGCTCGGAAGCGGCGCCGGCACGAGGGACACGCCGGGATCCACCGGGATCCACCGGGATCCACCGGGACTCCTCCAACCCCCTCCCCAAAACCCCCGCAGCCCCCTCCAACCCCTTCAGAGCCCCCCTGGACCCTTCTACCCCCGACCCAAATTCTTCAGAGCACCCCTTGACCCCTCAAACTCCCCCCAACATCTCCGCAGCCTCCCTTGTTCCCTCTAACCCCCTCCCCAAATCCTCCACAGGCGCCCCCATCCCCTCACGACCCCTCCGGCCCCCCACACCCTCGCCCCCCCCGTCCTTTCGCGACCCCCTAAATCACGGCCCCCGCCATCTCCTCCAGACCTCCCTCGGCCCCTCACGATTCTCCCGGGCCCCCACCCCCTCAGCCTCGGTCGCCCCCAGCCCCTCACGGCCCCTCCGCCCCGGCCCCCCCGTGCCCCGCGGCGCATCCGGCGCGGCGGCCCGTCCTCACCCGTGTGGAGCAGATCTCCATCATCACCTCCTCGAAGGCCGCGGTCTCCTCCGCCTGCCGCTGCTTCTGCAGTGCGATCTTCTCGCTGAACTTGC